GCAGGGCTCACTTACTGTAACAGTTGAGATGCCAAATTCAGAGGCTGTAGCTGCAGAGAGGTTTTTTAAGGACAGTTGGAAGTCCTATGTCCTGTTGATATCAGCATTTTGGCAGAGGGATCAACAATTTGGAAAGTAGTTTGGGAGTTTTATTAAAGATCTCTCAAAAGAAACCAATTACATTTAGTAACGGAGAGTATATATATATATATATAGATGGCCTGGGTAATTCACGGGATACTGTGATTTTCCATATCTGCAGAAAGATTCTATTTCCTGTTCTCTTTGCTGACAAAGATGAATAGATTAAAATACAACAACCACCGCCCTTATTTGGGCAACATTAAAGGAGCTTCACAATTCAATTATTGGTTTATCTGGGATTTATTGGGGGAAATATATGTGTTCAGATACACAACTTTTTTACATTAATAAAGAGTATCAAATACAGCACGTGCCACTAAAAAAAGAAAAAAGTCCTGTGACCAGAAATATTCCAGCCCAGCACACCAGTAAATCTAGCTTGCTTCTGAACCTAACAAAGACAAGAGGAGCAAAAGGAGAATATGCAAGAAGTAATGGAAAGAAAGGCAACACAAAATATAGAAATAAAAATCAATGAACAAACTACAAAAGCCATGACCATAGGACAAGATTAGCTTCCTGAGCAGGCCACAGTCCCAGGGACTATCTCAACGTAGGAAGGCATCCAGGTAAGCCTTATCGTTATTAATAATTTCGCATATTGACAACTCTTTGAAATATCAAAGAAACAACATACAACTGCCACACACCTGTCATATGCCAAATAAACTGCATTTTATTACTGGACGTACATTTTATGCACAAAGCTCAACACTGGTGCGACAGATTTCAGTGCCACCAACATGTTCGTAAAAGAATATCAAGGCAGTTTGGTGGACCCAGATCAACTCGAATCAAGCTGACTACATTGAAAATCGCGACCATTTTATTGGGAATACAAGGTTGCTTAGGACTTGGTGTTTATAACAGTGTTAGGCAGGGTCATCCACGGTTGCTAGCTCCTCGCCTTGACATGTGAGATTAAAAGTTAAAGTATGTTAAAAAGGGGCACTAATCTTTTGGAATTTCCGAATTAACGGCTCAAAGACCAACACTTCCACCTCTTCCAAAGCTTGCCGGTGGAGTGGGAAAGGAATCATTATAACTTATTTTGTCAAACGTTAATAGGCATTAAAAGGCATGATGCTGATAAAAATCATGTGGTGTATGTCATATGAACACACATAAATCCTGCTTCATGCACAGAAACCCTTGAATGCCACAGCCAAAAGAAACACCGTGGAATGTGACAGAACGAATGAGTGCAACTCTACTGTGTTAAAAGTTTTTTTTTAATTTAACTTCTTTTCTTTTTTCTGCCAGGTGAGTATTGTGTGTCAGAAATTAACAGTAAGGTATACACACACATACACACAACCCCCACACACACACACAATTATTAGCCTGAAATTTCACATTTAACCAAAACTATGAAAAGCATGCAGTTTATTTTCTTGTTATGGCTATTGTTCTTAGACATCTAAAATTTTCAAAGTCATTGGCAAGTAAGCCTTTAAAACAGCAATAAAAGGAAAGACCTGTAAAAAAGAGAATTTCTCGGCTTTGGGGTATCTTGAACAATGACAACATTCAATACTTTGTTTTGTTTTAAAATTTTAACTAGAAGCATACAAATGTTGGTTACTTTTACTATAACCTCAGGTATTTGCCTATTTGATGTTTTAAGACTTAGAGTGATAAGCTGTGAGTTTGGGGTAAGGTTCTGTCCATACAGAAATCATAATGTCACATAATTGACCTCTTCTTTAAAATAAGCATGGTAAGAGCCCAAATCTTCGCCCTCTGAACTTTCAACTCTGAAACTTGACCACAGGTAAAGAGCCAGACTCTCAAGCTTATCCTTCTTTATAATCCAGGTAGAGTCCAAGTATGGACTCATTGGTGGGAGATGATGCTAAGAGCTAGTATTTCCCCGTAGGAAGTCCAGCAAGAAGAAACAAAGGACATTAGGATCTCACTCTACGCTGTAAGTAAAGGCTGCAGGTCAAAGGTTACACTTTCTGAGCTATAAGTTTACAACAGCATGTTCAACTCTATAGTTTTATTATTTATTTAATGAGTGATTTTGATATCAACAATCAGAGTACAATTTGTTTCAGCTTCCAGGGATATCTTTCTAAAGTGCTGACATAATCATCTGACCCCTCTATTTGAAAACCACTGAGAACTCCCAGTTTTTAGGAGTAAATTCAAACCTCTTTCCATAGCTTTCAAGACCCTTGAAAAATGAGCTAAATCCAACTCTTTGGCATTATCTCCTACCAGTTGCTAACATATAACCCAGAGTCTTCCACGACCATGCCATTTTAATACCCATGGCTTGATTAATGTTGATCTCCTGAAAGCTGTCCCTCCTGTGTCTACTCTTTCTCTGCCTCGAGAACTTCTATTGATCTGTGAGAGTCCAATGCCAGCAGAATTAAATTATTTTTCCTCGGTGGTGCCATAACACTTTATTCATTTAACCGGGTATCACTTAGCACATTGTATTATGGTTAGTTATACCCTGATAAAATAGGAGTGCCTTGAACAAAAAAGGACCTATCTTATTTATCTTTGGCCAACAGTAGATAATAAATGTTTACCGCATTGAATAGAGATTAACTAGAGTAAATTTTAATAGCTTGGATTCTGAGACTGGTCCTAAGTTCAACCCTCGTTCCTCTCCTAGCAAGCTGCTTCTTAAGCTCTCTGCACTTCAGGCTTATGATTTGTAAAATGGGAGCTTCCCTCCCCCAGAGTAGGTAAGTCCAGAAACCAAGGCAAAGCCTGCAAGAGGTCACACACCATTACTTTTTCAATATCCTATTGATCACCTAGGCTAGCGCTAGTCAGAGTTGGAGGGGACCACACAAAGGAAGGAACACCAGAAGATAAGGATCACTGGGAGGGGAGGCAGTTTAGACGCTAGCTGCCACATTCATCCAAAACCTGTGTACTGGGTGCCTACTGAGGAACTGGGGACCAAGCGGTGAACAAAATAGAGGTCCCTGCTTCCGGGAAGCACACATGCTAGTGGAGGTCAGAAAGGCAATGGCTCTAATCAATAAGTAAATTATTTAATATATAGTATGCTACATGATACAAGGAGTGCTATGTGTTAAATAAAATTTATAGGGAGCCATTCGTTTGCACTGAGCTCCAACACTAGGCACAACAGGCAAACCAAAATGGAGTCACTCATGCTGACATTCCTTGCCACCAAGACAAAACTAAGCATCTGATGTTCCAAGAAATAAGAAAAGAGAGAGAGATAACAGCCAAATCCCCAAACAGGCCAGTTTTAGCCAGCATGTTAAGGAAGTCCCCTCTGCTTTAACCTTTACAAGGAAAGCAACTTCAAAACGACCAATCTGCTTTTTGTTCTCTGTTTGAAAAACGCTTTCATCAGCCCTGTTCTGTCTATAAAGCCAATCTCCTCTGCACAGCTCATTGGAACACTCATTCTATTTTGCAGAATGATTCTAGAATTGCAAATAAAAGCCAGTTTAAGATCTTTAAACTAAACTTGCTGTAATTTTGCCTTTTGACTTATGAAACGAGATAAAGCAGGGGAAGGGGAAAGCTGGAGGTTGGGACTGCCGTTTTAAACAGAGAGATCGAGGTAGGCCTCACTTAGACACTTGAAAGAAGAGAGGACACAGGCCATGTGGTTTTATAAAAGAACAGTGTTCCAGTCAATGGGAACAGCAACTGCAAAGGCCTTGTGGTGGAGTGTGCCTGCCATGTATAAGAAACAGCAGGCCGTCACGGTGGCTAGAGGGACGATGCAGGAGATGAGATCGGGTAAGTAACAGTGGTGGGGGTAGAGACCACGTAAGACCTCACATGCTCATTCAAGGACTCTGACCTTTATGCTGAGTGAAATTGGAAGCCACTGGATGATTCTTAGCAGACAACTAATAAGATGTGACTTAATGTTTTAAAAATGTCATTCTGGTGGCTGATATCAGAACAGACAGTCTGAAAGTGAAGAAAGGAAGCAAATTAGGAGGCTCCTGTAAAATTCAGACAGCAGGTAATGGTGGCTTAGAGTGTTATCAGTGTAGGTGGTGAGGAGTGGTCAGATTCTAGATTTATTTTGCATGATTAATTCGCCATTCTAGGCAAAGTGTTTGTTTAGGAGGAACAGCATTTTTTATTAGATTCCAGAGTTGTAGCTGCCAAATGGTGCTCCAGGGAACCCTACGTGAGTTCTGAGAAATATTGCAGGCATTTGCTACTAAGATCGATGAAGTGGGACAGGTGAATACAGCTTTGTGTCCCCTCCCCTCAGTTCTATGAGGGCAGCTCTATGTTACCATACTCCACAATGTGGGGTGGGGTAAACCTCCTTAAGAAAGACCAGAAGCCCCAGTACCCTAAAAGACTATCCATATGCGCACGCACATGCAAACGTACTGTATGACAAAATACACCATTTATAAAATCAGAAGTTTTCCTGTACAAACTACAGGAAAAATATTCACAACACAAATGAAGAACATTTAATATCCCTAATATTAATAAAACTCATAAATCTGTAAGAAGACAATGCAGTAAAAAATGGGCAAAGAGTGTTTCCAAAATGAGGTTCATAATAATAGTATCTCTCCACTGAATCGTTGTAAGAATAACATAACAATATATATGAAGTGCTCAACACAGCTCCTGGCACAGAATTAATGCTCAGTAAATGTTGTCCACTGCTGCCACCACCACAACCAACACTACTGACGCCATACCATTGTTGCCACCTCTGCCACCACCCTTATGATTATCACCGCTACCACCAGCATCTTCATTAGAGGGCAAGAGCCATTAGCAATGCAAACCTGAGTCAACTCTGAAGGCCAAAGCCAAGGTAGCTTTCCCCAAAGTAAATTCCTCACTTCCAGTAGCCAATTATACATTACCTTTTCATGGTTTTCTATTAGGATCTCAATGACAATGTTCTGAAATTTGATATCCATGATGGCTGCTACTGTTTCTTCCTGAGGCCGCAGCAGAGTGGGTCCAAACACTACACCAAGGTTTGCCACCGTCATCAAATTCTGCTTGTGGTTGTTAGCAACACTGGGAGGGAGGAAAAGAAAAGGCACAGATGAGAGAAACAGTTGACCTGCCTGGACCCTTCCTATCTCCTCGTTTGTTGAAGCCAGAACTTGCGACATCCTCAGATGCCATAAGTCCAAAGAGAGATTTTTCTACTTGTATTTTCAGCCACCAAAGTTTCAAAAATCTTAAACATGCAGGCTATTTTGCTGTTTCGGGATGCGACATTCTTCACCATTTCCATTTTGCCTAAAACAACCAACCAACCGAAGCGACTATCTGCCAAATGATGAACTTTTACACATCTGAGTCCCTGTGCTGTGAGTCCAGGTAACTGCTAATCCCTCTTAATTACAACTTATGTACTTGGCTGATGCTTAAAACACTGCAATCATTAGCATTTTCTCTACTGCAAATAAAAAAACCTCTTGATAGCTTTCATACATGTGCAAACATAGGCACGAAATGGATCTAATTTTTAAAATGGACAGATCTGGATATGTATTAATAAAACCAAGTCAGGAAATTCAGCACGTTAGACTCCAAGTATTAAAGGCCCATCAGATTAAACATGTGGCTCACATTAAGTAAAACATGTGGCATAAACAGAAGTAAAAAGGCACTACTGTATATCCACGTATGTGGCTGTGTTTATATTGTCACTTATACTCAAAGCCTAACAAACACACAGGGTCAGCAGTAGCTGGGTCTCAGTAATTTGCTAAATATATATGCGTATTTTTGGATTAACAACTACTCAAAATATATCTGAACTCCATGCCCAGGCCACCATGACCTACTATAAAACTCAATTGTTCATTTGCTGGTCCCATGTGTAAAAATATACAAATCATCTACCGGCAATAAATAAATTAAAAGTTAATGCCATTCAGTTTTGTTAAGGAAATATCAGAAGCTTCCCTAAATCACCTGTTGGAAGAAGGAAGCTATTCATTACTATTCATTGAAACTGGAGAGAAACTGGGTAGAGATCGACAGTTTGCACAGACCTACCTCCCTAGCATTTAGTGCTATTTATACTGAGTATTTTTTCACACAATTCTATAAATGCCTGCACTGTTTCTCTTGTATACTTCTATTTTGTAGGAAGAAAAGAGATTATACTGCCTTAAGTGCTGGTTTTTCAACTGAGCTTTTATTGAAATATTAAATCAACCAATTTTATCAGCAGATGTGTACTTTTCTGTAATTTTTTTAAGGCTAAGAGTTTAATTTAATTTAACCTCCTCCTCTGAAAGGGCCAGAGCATAGTCAGGTCCATGAAACTTTAATTGCAGAAAGAGAATTTGTTTTGATTGCTAAGCAACACCTGCAGCTGGGAAAGTTGCTACCGATATCCTGGCCTGTTTCTGGTCCACATTAGAATATTTTATAAACATTTTCCTAGTTTGCACTGAGTCTCCTGGTTTTGCTTAAAGTTTTCCATTCTACTCAGAATGATATCATGGTTCAAGTCTGAAGGAGTTAATGCAGATGGTCAAATTCTTACCTGGCAGGAGGGAGAGACTTTGGTTCGGTGCCTCAGTCAATCAGCAAGTATGCATATTTACAAGCTGCTTTTAACATCACTACTTTCAACATCAGCTTCTGTGTGTGGGAAGGGAATTCTATGGCCTTATACTTCCCCTCCCAAATGAGCTAAGTCAGTAGACTTACCCCTCGTGTCACAAAGGTCCCTTGTGCAAGTGAATCAACAAGCTATTTATGTATAAAAACACTTTCAAATTGTAGACCAATATAAAAACATATGGTTTGGATGATGATCACTTTTGACCATCATGCTTCTCCACACTACATCTGATTAAAGCAGTAGTCTCTAACTGGGCTCCCTGACTCTAGAACATCTAAGTTCAGCTTTATCCTGCCCGACACCACCAGTTACTGTCTAAAGCCCAGCTCTGATCATGTTGCTCCTCTGCTGAGAACGGCAACAGTGTCACACCTCTCCTGTTTTTGGGGAGAGAACACAATGCCATGGCATATGTGAAGTGTTTAGCGAGGCTTCTATTGTTTAATTGTTCTGATATTGATGACTAGAAACCCTGCATGGGCCCCACTGCTTATAACACAAAGTCTGAATACTTATAGAATAGCACACCTTTTTGAAATCACCTCTAACCCTTCCTCTGCCACCTCCCAGCTCTGAGTCTCTGGACAAGCGACTCAATATGTCTATCATCTTAAAAAATAAAAGGGGGAAGTTGCAGTGAATATTATACCTGCAGAGTGAGATTGTTGCGCAGATTAAATGTGATAATTCATGGGAAGTGTAGTAATTGTTATAATAATTCATTCTCTATCCCCAATCCACTTTCGCACCTCTTTGCCTTTATCCATGTCATTCCTCTGCCTGGAATGTTCTTATGCTTCCTTCTGTGTTTGGCAAGCTGTTGATCTGCAAGGCTCAGCTCACATGCCCACCCCTCTTCCTTTCTGACTCTTCCTCTCATCTTTCCCCAGACCCCCACCCCTGAGGAAGACAGAAGTGTCGGGCCGCTCCTGCATTCATCACACTGCCGGGGCCCAAGGAGAGGAACTGTGGTATTGAACTTGGTCACATCAGTGCTGAGCACAGTGCTTGGCACAGGAGAAGCACAAGGAGCATTCATTGAGGTGTTAAAAGATGAGGGGAGTTTCTGAGTAGACACGAAACAATTATTCCCAACCCAGGTACTTACTCATAAATCTTCAAATTATTATCGATGATTTGGGGGAATGTATCTCAACGATCCCAACCTCCCTTTTCAGAGTCTCGAGCTGTGTTCCATTTCTTAGATTTAATTAATGAGTGATAATTACTTTGATATGCAGGCCCCAGTGCCCAAAGGCATTTGGAGAAAAGGTACAGTAATTCTGGATCAGCAACTCTGAATATAAATAGGCTTGAGGCTACCCAGCATAACTCATTTCCCTTTTAATGATCTATTTTATTTTAGAACTTAAAAAAAAAAACACACTGATCTAAGTCTTAGGAAACTTTGGGGGAGGAAAAGCTACACCTTTCATTACTACCATTATCTTTTGGCACACTGAATAAATTGATCTGTCACTTGATTAGTACTGCTCACAACTTGGTACAGCTATGTTCATTACTCCAGGATGAATTATTAATGGCTTCAGTTCTCCATGTATCCCAGAGAGAAAGGCCTAGACCTCAGCCTCTGCTGGCACCAGACATCCATTACAGCTTGACGAATTTACAGATGTGTGGAAAGCAGGCTGGCAGGGTGTTGGGACACCAGTCCAGCAGAGGCCACGGGACTCGTTCATTAGTGAGGTCCATAAAACACCGAGAACCTGCTTTCTGTTTTGGTAACTGAGCTGCCCGAGCTCCTCCTCACACAGTTCAGGATGTCATGTTGAGTCTTGACTTGAAATCCACACACAGAAGCTTCTTGTGCATTGCACGCTGCAATGAAGGAGTCTTTGATACATGCCTTTCAGATTTCCACGTCTGCTCTGGTGCCTTCTGAGAGAACTGCCAATTCTACAGGCTCTTCTGGAGGTTGCAGGGAAACAGTTCCCACATGTGATGTTCACTTGGGAGAGACCGAGTTCCTTGTGTGACCATTAGAGTCTGCTGCATCGGCTGAGAAGCAGTGCATCTCTGGAGGGACATGACAGCTTCAGGGCAGCTCTTGGGGATCAGGGGGGGATTTGTATCCCATATTCTAGGCAGTTCCCTCCTGAATTGCAGTTAATGAGGGAAGAGCATGTTCCAATGAAAATGGCCTTGGCAGAGGGGAAATAGATGGGTTCTCTGGATTGATCTGACACCCTTTGGGAGGTGGAATCAGCTAACTTCCAATGAGGATGGTGGCGACGGTGGTGGAGCGCTATGAGGGGAGGAGGCAGTAGCCCACCCTTTGAGGGCCTGTATGTAGAGATCCCCATGCTGTCAGAGGGAACACATCCGTTCTCCTGGAGTTTACACGAGAGCCGGAGCTCTGTAAGCACTAAGCAGTACTTTTACAGTAACAGATGGGCCCTGAAGTACTCCAACAATACACGAGCCTACTGCAGGGTCTACAAATAGGCTTCATCGGGAGGCCGAGAAGGATTAACTGGAAATTAAGCTGCTGGAATGACACTTTTTTGAGGCTAGCCAGGTAAGTCTACTTTCCAGGGTTGTTAATCTGGTTTCTTTCCCCAACTTGCAATACTTCCCCGGATCTAACGGGGAATGGCGGGGGGAGCGCCCACACTGGTAGCTGCGTGTCCTCTCCGCAGTCGGACCGCATGTGCTGCCTGCACTTGGCGAGGCCGGACCTGCCCAGACGGTGCTGAGGAGGCCTCTGCCGAGAATACCCATCAGAGCCACTGGACTGTCCCAATGTCTGGCACCATGAGAGCGTCACATAAACTGTTCTGTGTACCGACTGGGGTCACGCCCGCCACCATATCTAACATCTCTCTGGGAATGGTTACCTAGGGAGCAGCCAGACACAAAGCCTTGAGTAATTACACAGCATCACTGCATCTTCCTGAGAACCTTGGAGGCAGGTAGGTACCACTATCACTGCCATTTCACAAAGGAGGAAAGGGAAGCACTGAGAAGTTAAGTTTTTTGTCTGAGGTCACACAGCTAATGAAGGGCAGAGCCGGGAGGGGAACTGAGCCGCCGAGCCCCAGCTCCTAACCATGGCTCTCAGCTGCTCCCACACGACTCGGACATGTTCAGCCTGGGCTAAAAAAGGCATTCTTTTTCCTCAGAAAATGCAACCCAAAATGAATATACAGGGCAGTTGTGTGCTTGAGACTGTGCGGGAAAAGGTAGTGGTTATAACAGGAAAAAAAAAGAGGCTATTCTCTTACTCGCCGCCCAAATTTCTAAATTATAAGACAACGGGGTGGGGGGGAGGCATTTGTGCCCGCAGGAGCAATACTGGACTAAACACTGTTTCTTCCTCCTTCTTGCAGTGAACAATGGCTGCACACTTGACGAAAGTATGAAAATGATGAACTGGCCCCCGAGTATGACAGCGCTCCATTTATAGCTG